TCGCATACACACTGGAGCGGAGATGAGAGAGAGAGAGGATAGAAGGGGAAGAAGATCCACGGCGGCGGCGTCGGTGGCGTGGTGCAGAGAGACGGGCGGCGGCGGCGTCGGTGGAGAGATTGAGAGAAGATTCGACTTAGGGTATGGGAGTTAGGGTAGGGTTAAATAAATGAATTTATTGTAAATAGATTTTTAAATGAAAATAATTTTTTTTTTTAATTCCTTTAAAACCTGATTAGTGAAATATCAAACTTAAATCAGGAATTATGAAAATGGATATCTAATAACAGGTGTGGGTGTAATTTCCTCTTCTCTAATTGAGGCCGGAGAATCTTTGAAGTGTGTACATGGGAGCCCACTAAGATATTTATATTGCATAAGATCTACGATATTTAGCACGATATAAATTCAAAATTCGAATATAAATGCAATATATTCTTTCATTTAATTTAATCTCTCTAAATTTAATCAAAATCCAATTATTTTTTATTTTTTTTAAATTGGAATTCAAATAATGTATTTTCAAACTCTATTATTTGATTATACGAAATGGATGGTAATAATCTTGCTTTTTTAATGACACCCCTTCTTCTTAAAAGAAGAAATGGGGATGACAAAATATTACATCCTCATATCAAGAGTTATGCTAATAGATCTCTGTCCGATTCTATTCATATTTGATATGGGTTAGAAGTCGATCAAAAGTTTCATTAGTCCTCGAATACACTTTTTAACTCTTGAAGGAAGATATGCTGAAAAGTATCGCGTTGTTGTTGCTTTCGCTATTATTCTAAAAATCATTGCAACTAATGTATCGAGAATATCCTTCATCGACTTTCCAGCGGAAAAAATAGGCTCCTAGAGATAGAAGTGAGAATGAATGAAACTTACAGGATACGGGGATTTTCATTGCAATTAAGTTGTAGTGCCTAAATTGTTAAAAACTGTATACTTCTTAGATGACGAAACTATACAAGGAAAATTCAGCATTGATAACAAATCTACTGCTTCAGTAGTAAGTTGATCCTAAATTTTCGTTAAATCATCACATAGCCGTGATGAAATATTTCTTGCTTCAAATGTTTAAAATTGCATAACAATCACGTGACTAATTAATCAATGTTGGATGGTTTCTATCATTAATGCGACGTAGATACGCTTATCATTTGATCCTAAAAATCATAAAAGAGTCTTATGATCGGTTCATGTTCATCTAGCAAGACAAAACATAACTACGATGACCTCATAATAACATTGTTTTAATAATTTTTTGGGACCTTTTAAGGATGAAAACGAAGTTATATGTATTGCCTTTTCCAGTTTTCACAGTGCAATCTCACATTTCCTCTACGTTTCTTTCCTTTTCTCACAGCCATTTCTCATCATTCTTTATCTTTCATTACCTCTCTCCATGAGACTACACTCAACGTAAATTGGTGACACACACATTAATGGTTCTACATAACATTACGGTAATACCATATCACCGACACACCTTCATTATGTGTTATCAACAATATTGTTGTTGTAGTGTCATCGAGAATCATCAATGGTGATTTAGACACCAACAATAAGCCTTTTGTGACCACCGACATCTTCTCGTCGATGATTATGGTCGATATCATTACACGGTAATGATTTAAACAAAATTACTAATATCGTGATTGTAGATGACCTACTACCTTTGTCAATGACTTGGTATCATGAGGAATCGCCAACGATGATTCAATAAAGCCTTAGGGACCGTTCTCTTTGTATTTCATTTTTATGTTTTAAATGCTCATTTTGAGATTGTTGAAAATGTGTTCTTTTTGACATTTAAAAAATTGTTTTGAAAACACTCAAAACTCATTTTGAAAATTTTGACTTGATCATAATTGAGAACACCCAAAATGACAAATTTATCTTTTTAGATTTTCTTTATAAATTTTTAACTTCTGTTCAAAAACGTGCTTTCAAAATAGGAATGAGAACGCGTTTCTACTATTTTGGAAAATCGAAAATAAAAAACGACTTGAAAATATTAAAGAGAACAGACCCTTGGTGTTCAAGTCTCTCGCAAAAAGTTGTTGATATCAACCTCAAATTTTATGCTTTTTATCATACAATACTGACAGTGATGTTATATAAATTTCTTTATAAATTAAATTTGTTAAACTACATATGTTTTTACTATTACTAACTAAAAATCGTTCTAAATATTTAATTATTTTTTAAAATTTTATTAATTTTCGACAAAACTTTTCTTTAAAAAACAATATTGAGAAATACAATAAATCGAGACCTTATAGCTGAATGCACAACTCCTAATGCTTGATCAAGCTCCACGATCTATCATTTTTATCTTATCAAGCTAATGATCCTTCCATCTAGGCCAGTGAAAACTTTCGGAATTGACTAATGTTTTTTACTGTAGCTAGAATTTCTTCACACATTTTTGTTTTCCCTTCGACTGCCAATAGTAAACAGAAACATGATAATACCCCCATAAATGTATGATGGTGGGAGCCGTAAATAACACGGGACAAATGGGATAGAAAAGATAAGGAAATGATCAAATGTAAACTAGGAAATACGCAAAAGTTCTTCTCTCTCTCTCTCTGGGGAAGAGGACTGAAACATATCACTAAAAGAGACAAAGATGGGCCTAATTCCAATACAATAGGGGCTAGGGCACTCTTCATTCTTCATTCGAAACTAATGAGCGTCCGGTACATATGTATGTATGTTTATGTCTATAAAGATGCTGAACTCCTCACAGCACTGGAGTAAAGAGTACATTTTTTTCCAGTTTATTACATATACCCAAACATAGCAGACTTAGAACCTGAGTTACCGGGCTTCTTGAACTAAAATATACCATCAGTCCTACTAGAAACAGGCATATCTATTCCTTAAGCCAACCAGTAGAGTTGTTTTGAGGAGGGCGACGAGGTCCAGCAGCAAAGCCAAACGTATTGGCTTGTAATCCAGGTCTAGGAACTGGAGGAGGGTACTTGCCACTTGTATCTGCCAAAGGTGGTCCAGACACCATACGGCTCAGCCTGGTATGGTTTAACTCCTCCAACACCACTTTTTCCTCGCCGGATGATCCTAATGGTTGCGTTTTCTTATTATCCCCTACACCAGGGAATTTTATATGGTTTCTGACAGGGGTCGAGATACTTTCATCGATTTTATGGTTTCTGATAAGAATGATGCTACTAGGTTAATAAAATGAAATATAAAGCAGATATAATCAAACTGGAAATTTGCGGGACTTACAAGCAGTAAATCAATATACGATTGGGAAGAAGATAATTCCAAGCCCTTTGTATAATGCCTTTGTCCGCATCCTTTTCAAATGCAATCTCCCTGGTATTGCAACCAAAATTTGACAGTATATACGGGAGTGTAAGTTCAGACAATAAGAATAAAAAACGGTTTCAAGAAATTTGCATAAAGAAATAATAATTACATGGGCAAACATTTCCTGTGGTATGCTTTAGGACAACGCCGACATATGGCAAACTGCAAGTGAGGTTCTGATTTAACTTCTAGCTCCTCACATACATAGCATTTGTGGAGGGGGCATGCAAACGGTTTCCCAGCTGCAATCTTTTGCTTGTGTTTTTCTGCTTCAGTTTTATCCCTTGGATGGAGAAGTTTCCCTACACAGTGAGGATGGTAAAAGCGCCCACAAGCGCCATTAACACACTGGAAGACCTGGACAAGAATGGGGAAGAAACATTTGAGCCATTTAACATGCAGAAGAAAATGCAATCCATATTGGCAGATGGAAACAGTGAATTCTAGCTCAGATATAAACAAGAACCTAAAAATATAGAAAAATCTTTGTATGATTTATATAAAGGGGAATCACAAGTTTTAAAATGGAATTTCACAAAGATAACACTACCAAGGGGTAAGCTAACAGGATGAAGAACCACAAAAGTTCTTTATGTATATTGGCAACACTTACAGAAATAACAGGAAGGAAGAAAAAACGAAAATCATATCAAACTTTAAAAACTGAATACAGAATGAGAAGGTTCAAAACATATCAACGATTGCCAAAGAAACACAATGGAAAGATGGACCAGAGACGAGGGAAAGAATGAGCTTACTAACAGACATCCAACTATTGCAATCAAACTATCATGCTAGTTGAAAAGAAACCATAAATATAGTACATGAAAACTGAAGAAGTACGAAGAATAAAAGAAAAATGAAAGATAGAGAAATGGAAAAGAAATGAGATGAGTGGACTTGAAATCTTCGTGAGCCTTTGTCTGAGACTTATTTTTTCAAAATAACTTTTTTCCCAACACTCATTTTCAATAACACATTTTCAAAAAAAAATAATAATTTTCACATTTTTCCTTAACTTTTTCCAACTTTTTAACAAGACATTCTCCAAAAAAAAAATCACTTCTCATAAAATGAACTTCATACAAGGGCTGAATCTATCCGAGAAAAATAAGCCTCCGTGGAAAACAAGCAAATATGTGAAATCAAATTTCAAAAGTAACTATTAGGAATTAGTCAACGGGCCGATCTCCTGCCGCCTCATCATATATACCAGAAAGTCCAGGAGAAATGAACAGTTGTTTAGAGATTTTAACTGCAGACAAACCACTACTATGAATGAAGTATATATCCTTCATCATGGGGCACTTTGTGAAAATAAAAAATGTGATGGTATATGTCAAACGAATTGTACCTCAGCATGAGACGATTCATCAGAAGACCCCAATTCCCCACAAACAAAGCACTGGTGTTGGTTATACTTGCAATTTGCACAATAGAAATCTATGGTATTCATTTCCTGCAATTAAAAACATGCAATACAAAAGATCTAAACAAAGGTCCAAGAATATAGAAACAGAAAACTATAAAAGCAGGTGTCAAAACAGGTAGTCGGCATACTTCCGCTTCTACATCAGTATAACCAAGAGACTTGCAATGATATTCAGCACCATCCTTGACAGTCGGATGAAATGACCTCATACACTTTCCTTGGCAACTAATTAAGATCATAACATGTGATTGATTATAAACCAACAAGAGAAGAGTTAGTTACATTGATTATTTGCAGAAATTGGATAGAACTTGATTAAAAGAGTGTGAATAGCACAAAAGGCCAGAAAAAAAAATACAAATTAGGAAAAATGAAGATAAGAACATACCATACAGGTGATACCCCCACCTGAATTTTGTACCAAATAAGAAAAAATGTTTAAACATGCTGAAACATAAATATGCAAAAACAGCGATCCGTTTAACACAATTATGAACAACTCAGCATAACAACTATGTGATGGATTCATAAATACCTAAAACACTCCAGCCCTGTGATATTAAAGTTTCCTCTTGCGATGCAACTTTATGTTTCTATTAAATATATGAAGATCAAGCCACATGTCATCTTACATTTACTCTCAAGAAACAACAGCAAATCTCACATTATTCTCAGTTACCCTTCTCAAGGTATATGCACAATTAGGTGTCATTATACAGAATAAGTCATCACGGATTAAAATGAAATATTTGTACAAAAGTTTTTGATGGAGATCCTATTAAATATATTGTGGAAGTATTTGATGGAGATTCTATTAAATATAGAGTGCGGTGAGAATTGGCTAAAGTTTGGTGGCCACCACATCGCGTCTTTTATGAGGGAGTTGCTGATTCTTTTGACTCCGTCTAAAAAAAGGCATAGGATCTTATAGACTGATGGCAACAAAGAAATATTAAATCTCAAAAAAAAAACACAAATTATGGGAGTTTCTTTCTACTGAACATAAATGTGTTCTATTTCCATCATGCCTTTTTTTTTAATCTCTAATGTGCAAACTCGTGTCTTTCTTGATGATATAGAGGATATGTATATGTATGGTGATTGGGACCAACATCGATACTTGCTTAAAAAGAAAGATTCCCGCTTGATCAGATGATGTTATTGTGGACGATTTGCATATAAAGTTACCACCATATGGTCAATAACGTTATTTAGTCATGAGGAAAGATCATCCTCATTGGGTAAGAAGTTATAGTATATCTCGTCGAAGCCAAGTTCTCTCAATCAGGGAGAAATGATAAATCATATTACATATATTATATGAAGACTTTATATTATTAGATTCTTATTTTTCAAAAAAGTAATTAGGGTTTATTTGTTAGGTCTTTTAATATTTTATTAGTTGTTTCTAATTTAAATTAAATTAGTTTAAACCCTACAATAAAGATGGCTTATGCACTGTGATAATTGAACGTTCACATCGAACAAAATCACATATTTCTGCCTAAAAATTCTCTCTCCTCTTTCCTCTTTCTCGTTTGTTTCTCTCTCTCCCTCTCTTCTTCTCATCTTCCCTTTTCTTATATGTATTTTCCCCTTTCTTCTATATTCCCTCCTTCCCTTACCCTTCTATAGTTGTGGTCCTTTGTTTCTTGCATCCTATGTTAGTATTGCTCTGATAACAATAAAAATAACGAAAGAAGAAAAATTCTTTGTAGGCAAATAAAAGGAAGCCGTGTTTGACGTTTATGATGATGAAAATCATCGTATAGGCCCACGTCCCGGAATACATAAAGGATACAATGCAAATGTCAAAAAACCCCTTGACCATACTTCATAGAGTTACCATATGTCACCCCTATACTAACACTAAATTCTCAGTTGAAAGTTGCGCAGGAAATTCAAATGAGTTCTTCACCAACTTTTTGGCTCTTATTAGTTATTTTTTATATTACAAGCACTAGCTCTGTGAGTTACTAGTTAGCAACCATGAAAGCTAGGAATATTATGTATTAAAAGAATGTGAGATTATAACGAAAGACCATTTATGGAGCTAATGATACAAAATAGGTACATGCATACCTCCAAGCATATATAACAAAGCAATGTTGATAAGGCTGTATATTTAGACACTGAACTACGAAATAAGAAAGTAAAAAATATAGGAAATATGACAAGTGCGAGACAAAAGTTAAGACAAACATACCACAGAAGTGATCCACCATCGTCACAAATTTCACAGACAGACGCAGAAATATCATCAATTTCATCGGACTTGTTATCTTCTTTCTTACTAGTCACACCATTATCAGTTCCAATATCCTGTCAAATGAAGAAGTTTGCGTGCTTAATATTGAAGGCAGATTCAGATTTACTTTCAAAATTGTCACTTAAAATATCACATACAGAAAGTATGACGAATCTTTAACTTACTTCTGTAGTCATCTGTTTCTTTTTCTCCTGTTCTTTCTGATGCCATTCGTATATTGGGGTGAAATCACAGTCTTCCAAGTTTTGAATAATGTGATTCTTTCCCAGTATTTTCTTCCAGTCACTCATGAAATTCTCTTTGAAGTTAGGTTTGTTAATGTAATCAGTATCTAACATCACTGCAAACATCGTGGCCACCTGCAAAAGAAAAGGGAAAACATGGCATGGCTTGGAACAACGTGAGGACAAAATTTTGAAGATCTAGACCCAATGAACTAAAAGACAAGCTAGTAGCCATGTTTGTTGCGAGAGAGAGAGAGCTTCACCTTCTCCTGTTCGGGTGTTAAGGCAACTGGCTTCCCCTTGTAGAGCACCATAACCCCATGAGGCTGGTAAGGAGGAGGAAATATCACACCACTCTGAACCAAGGTAGTCCATCTCTGCCATTCACCAGAGCTTGGAAGAACTTCTGATGACTTGGAGTCCTGAGATTTTTCCGTCACCTTTTTCGATTCCTTATTTGTTGTATTAAGTGAAGAAGAAACAACTTTTGTTACTTTTTTAACTGCCGATGATTTTCTGTCTGAAGCAGCCGGCTTCTCCATTCTCTGAGAAATTTGAACATGGTCTTCATCATCGTGTACCTTTGTGTCAGCTTTGACAGATGCTTGCTTGTTATTAACAGGCCTTGATGCAAGGAAAAGCTCACGCTTTTTAATTGAAGATTGGCCTGCAGAGTTTACCTCGATGGCAGGTCTCTTACTTAACACAGTTGAAGGTTTCTTCGAACATATGTCTCTCAAGGCAGACCCGTTTTGGTTATTTATTGCTGCGAGAAGCTTTTCTTCATCAGAATTGGGGATGCCTGACTTTTTACACAAACATGTAGCATTGGATCTGGCATTTGGTTCAGCAGCAGGCCCAGTTGAAGGCTTGTCCACCTTCATCGGTTGATTAACATTTTCTGAACAATAAGCCTCCGAATGTTTCAGATTTGCCTTGGGATAGCTCGGTGAAGATGCCTTAGCAGATGAATTAGATGCTTGCAGGCTACATGGGGGAGATTTAACAGGTGGTGATTTGGAAGACGAGATCATCTTACCCTTTTGAACCCCAAAAGTTTTACCATTTTCAGCACGTACATCCGGTATTGGCCTTCCTAATTGTCGGTCAAGCTTTTGAGATGAAGATGACTTTTGAGCCAGTGAGTTAGATTGGTTTTGCTTTGATGGTCTGCTCCGTTTAAAAACTGATGGCTCATTATCCTCGTCCATATCATCCATCAATTTTGGTTTCTCAGAAGCATCAGCAGCCATTATTTTTGCTATTTCCTGTGTTATCTTATAATGGTCCTCAGTATCTGTAAAACATTAATTTTTTTGTTTTGTTGTCCAGTTTAAAGAGCAAACTTACTAAAACTAAAAAAAAACTTTACTGAAACCCTTATTGTTCTTGAGATTTGGGAAAACAAAAATGAAGGTCACAATTCAACCATTTTCCCATAAATAGAATGTCAAAAACTCACTTTCGTATCATTTTCACTTAAAAATAACACATTGACAGCATGCCATAATCCAAACACGAAAGCAGGCCGAAAAGTGAAATGATTCAAGGCAGAATCAAATGTACTGTGCATCCCCCAGGTCACAAAAAATTGTAAAGAGCGGCATATATTTACAATGTATACATTTAATAAATCACTATATCATCCTGATCATATGACAAAATAGCCAACAAAATCTAACTCGCCACCTATTAACCTTTCTAATAAACCCAAAAACTCAGCAACAAACTGTATCCGAGATGGATAAATCCTGAACAAGAATCATCATCAGAATTAAATTACAAATTGAGTGCTGAAGAAAAGTGACTTTTAACATGCATATTCAGATAAGAAGACAAACAAAAAATTAGAAATAATTCAAAATTACTCTGAGCTGTTACAGACACATAAACCTTAGAAGCAAAGAGATGTAATCAATCAGTTAACCTCATTCCAAGCACATTGATTTAACTCCCCTATACATAAAGTTGCAAACCCTAATAGGATAATTAGTCTAATTATTCCTTTTCCAAAATCCAAACCCTTTAGGAAATTTTACATAAACCTTAGAAACAAAGAGAAGTAATCAATCAGTCAACCTCATTCCAAGCACATTGATTTAACTCCCCTATACATAAAGTTGCAAACCCTAATAGGATAATTAATCTAATTATTCCTTTTCCAAAATCCAAACCCTTTCGGAAATTTTGCATACAGAGTAACAGTAACAGAGAGATACCATAAAAACCTTCAACCAGGCAAGAGCCAAATTTTTTATTTCACCGCCTCCTTCTTTGAGATCTGTTTACAGATTTTTCTACCGCTTTTCACACTGTTCTTCAAGTCCGTTGTTTTTGTAGCTTACAGCACAGCTGGAACTCAATGACGCGCGTGAAATTTGTTTTGTGTAAATGACAATTCATAAAGAGAGTACTAAAAAAATTATTTATCAAAATTAGGCATTGGTCCGATGAAATTAATTTCTTGATATTTTGTACTATAAAATCATAACGTTTGCATTTTATATGGACTTCTTATTCCAAATCAGCCTTATTCCAATCAAACTCATAATTTGTAATAAATTTCTTGATATTTTTGCACTGCTCTTCTTACGTAGCTTAATCAAAATTAGGCATCGATCCAATCAACTCTTATCAAAATCCGAATGAGATTTGTAGCTTCAAATCTATTAGGACGCCATGTGGCATATCATGGCTATGGAAACGAGTGCTAAGATCATTTCCGCAAAGAGAGGACGAACGCTAGTGGCTATTGCAGATATTGGATTACTCGATAGGTGTTGAGGGTTGACATGAACATAACAAAAGGAACTAGTACTATTCGGGAAAAAGAGCAATGACCTATATACATAATTTGCTTCAACGGCAGAGTGATGACCTCTATACACATTACGTACACACAAAAACTCGATCAAAAATGTTGGACACGCTTGAGCACCACGTAGAAATATCTTATAATCCAAGCTCCATCTTTATTGGAAACAACAATTTATTTCTTCATCTATCTACGTGTCATAATTACAAATTTTGACGATGAATGAAGATTACGAACCGATGAAACGATGCAAATATAAACTAATAAAAAGTTATTTAGATAAGATGTATAGATGCTATGAAGCAACTCATTTTAGGTAACATTTGATCAGTAACTATGAATGTGTAATTAAAATTAATATAATGGAAATCAAAATGCATAAACTATTTTGGCACAAAAACAAAATTAAGTACCAGTTGTAAGTACAACGTAAATTTCCTTTGAATGTCAGCTCAAATTCTGGCCAAGAATTTCAGCATCTCCTTCTTGACAAGCTCCCCAAAAAATCTGAACTCTTCAATAACCCTAACATCTGCACCGTTCCTTGTCAATGGAGGAAAAAACAGCCAAAAGCTCGTGGCCACCACAAATCCCACCGTCAACGGCCCACTAACGAACCACGGCAACCGCCATTTGCCACCCAAAGCCGCCTTAAACACTAACTCCACCATCACACAAACTCCATGCAGTACAAAAAACAATGTCATTTCCCACGAGGGACTCACCCGTGTGACATAGTAGAACAAGAGCTCGTGCATCAGACCAGACACAATAAAAGCCGCCACCACCGCCGGCAGCGGGGCCAAATTATTGCCCAATACAGCAGCCGCAGCTGACCTCACGGGTTTGTATACTGTGTGGCGCAGAGTGTTTGTTACTGTGAGGTTCCACCTCCTGCCCCAAAAATCTTGGAGAGATGTGGACAGATAAGGCTCATCGGACGGTGGTTCCAGCTCTAACCCAACAAGAACTCGAACAAGAAAACTAGATAAAGCAACTATCAGATCAATCAACAGAAACACCAAACAACAGTATACAATCAACAAAATCTTGGGAGGAATACAATCTTTATACTCCCGAATTACTGCTATTAATATAGCAAAAGCAACAGTTTCAGTAGCCAAATTCAGCGGTACTTTCTTGGGACTTTGAGAAACTGGGAAGTTCTTGTTTTGCTTGATCTTGATGGGTAGAGCAGCAATGGCTATGAAAGTATGGAGAGGGGGCTTTGTGGGGTGAATTGAAAGTGGGCCCTGATTGAAAGCAAAGAGGAGAAGCTTGAAACTGGTGAGCCATGTGATTAAGAATGCTGTGACTGCTGTGAGGAAGGCAGAGTTTAGAGAGAGAGGGAGACTTGCGTAGAGAGATAAAATGGGGATAAGAGACACAAATCTGAATAACCCTTTTCGGAACTTTGCAGATATGAAATAGCAGTAACAGAGAGATGTCATCAATGTAAACCAGACATAAGCTAAATTCCAGATTTCACCCTCCATTTTTGTGATTTCTTCACAGCTTTTTCTGGTCTTTTTTTTTTTTCACTGTTTTTTAAAATGGTATTATACAGTGCAAGAGAATCTAGCAATGGTGTAAAGACTGCAGAAATCATCCATATTTTTATTGCTTTGTATTTTTGGAAGTACTCTGTTGATTTTTCTTTTTCTTAACATCTTTTGACTTTTCTAGGAAGTAACCTTTAGGGTTTTGATTTGTGCGTGTGAAATATTTATGCGGCAACCGAAGTTGACTGTTGGCCTATTTTTTTCAAAATTTATTTTCAACCATACATTATTTTATAAAAATAATTTTTCACGTAAATTAAAAAAAAAAATTACTTTTTAATCACACATTTTTCAAAAAATAATTATTGCAAAATATATTTTACTTCAAAAATGAGAATCGAACAGGAGCTTAGATTATAAGTTATTAAATTTTTAATCAACTTTTTTGTTCGAATCAAACAGGGAATTAAACATTTATTGTGACTGTTCCATTCTATGTGAGTTTCTACCTCACTAAAATTATATCGACTCCCTGTAAAAAAAAAATATAGATCGATCATCAAAATGAATCGATCATCCTGTCATATTCTTGTTGATAAATAAAGCAGGTATATGTACCAGATCAAGTATTAACCATTAAATGAAATGCAAAATTCATACATTAATCCGTTAACTAAGAAAATATGCATAGAACCTCAAAAGAAAAAATTATATATAATCACGTATGAAGATGCTGTGAGGCAACTAACTTTACATAGCACTGGAGTGAGGAGTACATTTTCTCCAGTTGAGTTAAATGTACACAAACAGAATAAGAACGCGAGTCATCGGCTACTGAACTATAAACTACCGTTGGTCCTACTGGAAATGGGCATATCTATTCATCAAGCCAACCCGCTGTGTTGTTTAGAGATGGGCGATAAGGACCGGGAGTAAAGTAGAATGAGTTGGCTAGAAATACCGGTCTTGGAACTGCACGGTCGATGCTCTTTGTATCTGCTAAATCAGTTTCAGATGCCACACCGTTCAGCCGGGTACAGTTTAACTCATCTAGTCGGGGAACTTCTTGTCCACTCGAAGATGGAAATCCAGGTCGGGCATTTGATACATCTGGAGCTGCTGTTCCATGAAGAAGAACTCGGGAGCTGATTTCTACATCCCATGCATAGCTTTTGTCCACCTCGTTGATGCATGAAGTATCCAAGGATCTGCTACCGATGGATTTGTTCTCCGTAAATTTTACATTTGGTTCTCTTTTCAACCTCCTTTTCTTAGTGCCTTCTGAATTTGTTGTAGAGTGATTCTTCCCACAGTCATCGTTCATATAGCCTTCTGTTCCACTGCAGTCATGGGGCAATCCTTTCTTACAACTCGCATCCACTCCGGCTTCTTTTTTATTATCCATGTGACTATCGTCATCCATCACTGTGGAAGATTTGCCAAGATTATGGTGTTCTTCCTCTGGCTGTAACTTCTCTCCTGTCCTGGACGAGTGCCCGTGCTGTTGAGCAATAGCCTTGTGTTTGTGCGTCCAATCTTGGCGACTCCAGAGATAAAGTGGTGGTGGGTTCACGTTCCAATCTTCCATTTGTCCGTCATTTACATCGACTGGCCCAGGCAAATAAAATGACTGAAACATACAGAGAATTATTTATGAACAACGGCTAAAACTAGCATTACTGTCAATATAATTCAAGAGTTGACAACTAGGAAATTAAAAAATCCACCAGCTTACCTTGCCTGCCAGCATCTGATTATTCTCCCAAACGAGATCATATGGAAATCCCTTATCGTCTAACCTGGTGAAGGTAAAAGCAAATGGAGAATCAGAGAAAAAGGGAGGGGCGCAGAGGGATAGAAAGGAATGACAAGTTAACTCAAAGAAATACCGTTGTGTCTCCCGAGGAACAATGAGTACTAGAAGTTTCGGTTTGAACTCAAGTGCTTTGTTAATAAATTCGTTAGTTAAGTCTGCGTTGACTCCAAATGGTGGGGTCAGTCCCATGATCTACACGAAAAACATAAAATCAGTTATATAAAATAAGATGGAAGTGCAAAAATCTTAAAATCATGTGTATAGAGAAGTGCTTCTCACCAATTGCGATCCTTCCGGCAACTCCTTTGCTTGGACACCCGTCCAGTCCCACTTCTCATCACTAAAACCATTCTACAAAGACCATAAAATCATTTTGAGAGTCAATATACATTTAGCTAATATATTTTCACCTTACAAAACAAAATATATATATTACAAATTAGGATAATAGCGTTCACCTTTGCTTGTACAATATCATAGTTTTTGTATGAGCAACTCTTTCCCATCTCATCGAGCTTCTTTTTCATAATGCAGCAGAAATCATTTGAACCACAACAGAAATCAACTATCTGGGAAACAAACAAAAACACAGAAATATATGATTAGAATCCAACCCCGAACTGACTTTCGGAAACTTCTTTACACAGTCAAATATGCAATCTGGCTACAGAATTCAAATTCTATTCGCGTTATGCCAATGAAATGTTGACATAACAATTTTACAAGTCCCGTGGTACAAAAAAGAAAAAAATAGACTTTTACCATGTCACCACCTTGAACATACCAATGGAGCATATCCACGATCTGCACCAAGAAATGATATTAACATCATGAACTAAATATCAAACGAAGAAATAAACAATATCTTGTCCCTGTAACTATCAATATAAACTTATTTTCTTATCAAAATTTGACCATAAAGATCAGTTGACCTCTTTGAGCTTGTCCTTTTTGGTCAAATGGCGACCAAAGGATGGGTAGCGCATGCCACGTAGAAAAGGAACAAGATTCACTTTCAGCTTCTTCTGCAAAAACGAAGTAGCTATACTAGTTAAACACAGGCCCCAAAACCATGAAATCGCTTCGCAGAAATGACATTCACAAATTATCGACACCAAGATAGGTTGAAAAGTACAAAAATCCAATGCAGTACTTAAAACAGTTAACCCATTCATTTGAGCATGATACTGATACTTATATAACCCATTGACTAAACAGTAGAACCACTTCTACTCAGAAAGATTTCACAAGAGTGAACAGCTTGACAATGACTGAAGAGATGTTAATATGAACAATAGCATACAGAGTAAAAATTTCAAAAAAATGTGAACTATTTTTGACAGTTCGTCTCTGCAGCACTTCATAAAAGACTCTCAACAATAATTTCAGTCTTATATAAGATGGTATCTTCAGAAACTATATCATCCTCAAAAAGCTATCTTCCAGATAACTTATGAAGTGGGATCACTTTGTTTCAAGGGATCAACTACTGCTCAATGAAGAAAAAAACTCAGATGGCCCAAGCAAAGCATACAGAAGTTACATGATACGGGCATAAATCATTAATCATATATCATAGAAACACTGAGAAGGAATCAAAGCACAACGAGAATTAAGGGTCAAGCTTGGACAACCACCTTCCATTTCATCACCTGGTCGAGAAGATCATTATCATAAACAGCTTTAGCATCTTTAAAACTGCTGGTTCCTTCCAATTTTTGTACGGTAGCACGAACAGCCTGTAAAAAAGTATAATTAAGTTTCCAGAAAAATAGATAATCCAGGCCAAAAATCCCTGGACATGTACCTCGACAGAACCCTCCACCTTCCCCATGGTAACATTCTTTGAAGATTGAGTATGTGTGAATGGTGCTTTATGCTTTTTTGAAATCTTTTCAAGTGTCACCGAGGAGGAAACATCTTCCATCATGACCAATATTCTGCATTGCAAAGGAAAAGAATCAAATAAAAGAAAAACTAACGATATTGAGCACTTTATTTGTCTTAAAATTGTGATGCCGTTACATACTAATTATGTACCCCTGTAAACCAAGGAGGGAAGGAGGAGCAAGGGAAAGAGGAGTATAAATGATAGCCAAGGCAGAATAATTCATCACCTCTTCTTTGTATCAGTATTATGCTTAACCATCTGAGTTTGCTCTAGTTTCCCATCAGTTCTCTCCACCCTGTTAGATTTGACAGGTCGAGAATTGTGTTTCTCGCCTAAAGATATCTTGGATTCGGAAGTGGCAGGTTCATTTGATTTCCTTAAAGAACTCTTGTCCACATCAGTCTCATGAACATCAATTACTTTATGCTTTTTGGAAGACTTCGGTCCAGAAGATTTCCTCCTCCTCTTTTTAGAATAATCACCCTGCTTCAAGCCAAAAGATGAGTCTTCAACCCCTTCTGATGGTTTTGGATCACTTTTCTTTGCAGCAATATTATCTGGAGCAGCACCTCTTTCCTCCAAAACTACTTTCTTCTTGCCGGATGATCCTAATGGTTGCATTTTCTTATTATCCTGTACACCGGGGAATTTTATATGGTTTCTAACTGGGGTTTTTATCCTTTTGACGATATCGTGGTCTCTGATAAGAATGATGCTATTAGGTTAATAAAATGACTTGTACAGAAGATATAATCAAGCTGGAAATTTTCAGGAACTTACAAGCAGTAAATCAATATACGATTGAGAAATAGACCATCCCAGGCCCTTTGCGGAATGCCTTTATCATCATCCTTTTCATACAGAATCTCCCTGGTCAATGCAACAAAAACTTTTTGACAGTCTACACTGGAGTGTCAATTTAGACAAGAAGAATTAATAATAGTCTCAAGATATACGCAAAATGAAATAACACTTACGTGGGCAAACATTTCCTGTGGTATGCTTTAGGACAACGCCGACATATGGCAAACTGCAAGTCGGGTTCTGATTTAACTTCCAGCTCCTCACAAACATAGCATTTGTGGAGGGGGCATGCAAACGATTCCCCAGCTGCAATCTTTTTCTCGTGTTTTTCTGCTTCTATTTTGTTCCCTGAATGGAGAAGTTCCACTACGCAACGAGGATGATAAAATTGCCCACAAGAGCCATTAACACAACGGAAAACCTGAACAGGAATGGGGAAGAAACATTTGAGACATTTTTCATGAAGTCTAGCTCAGATCTTAACAAGAACCTATAAGTATAAATATATCTAAGCAGTATGATTCATATAAAGAGGGAAATCACAAGTTTCAAAACGGAATTGCACAAAGATAACACAACCAAGGGGTAAGGACTAAGGAATGAGATGAGTGGACTTGAAATCTTCATGAATCTATTCCAGAAAAATAAGTCTCCGTCGAAAACAAGCAAATATGTGAAATCAAATTTCAAAAGTAACTATTAGGAGTTGTTAAACAGGCCCCTTCACGAAAATAAACAAAGTGATAGTATATTTCAAATGAACTCATACCTCAGCACCAGAAGATGCATCAGAAGACCCCAATTCCCCACAAACGAAGCACTGGTGTTGCTTATACTCGCAATTTTTACAATAAAAATCGATGGTCTCCAATTTCTGCAATTGTAAGTATGCAATAGGGAAAGAGTTAAATAAAAACACAAAGAAAATAGAGACAGAATGCAAAAGCCAGGAGTCAACACAGGTAGCAGCATACTTCCATTTCTGCATCAGTATAACCGAGAGACTTGCAGTAAGAGTCAACACCATCCTTGACGGTTGGATGAAATGACCTCATGCACTTTCCTTCACAGCTGAATAAGAATAGATCAGGTGCAACAGATTATGAACCGAGAAGAGAAGAATGTCAGGTAATAAATTGCAGAAATTGGAAAGAAGTTGATCAAAAGATGGCATACAATGTAAAAGGCCTTGAGAGAGAGAGAGATAGGAACAATAATAAAGACAAGAAGATAATATTTTACCAGAGGATCCTCGTATAGTTTTATGATATACTAAAAAGTCTGTTTAAAAGATAATAACTTCAACTGAACTAGAATACATGCAAACTTTCTAAAACCAGAATATAATTAAAAATAAATTGTCCCGAGCAGGTAATCTTAAATTAAGTGCACAAATCCAGTGTATGGGGTTTCCTATGTAGCTATCATTAACATTAATGATAATTTGTATTAAAAAAAGAGGTGGTGATAAGCTATAGTCAAGCTAACGACAGAAAATAGGTACAAGACATACATACCAGAAAAGTGATCCACCGTTGTCACAAATTGCGCAAACAGAGTCACAGCAATCTTCCTCATCATCAGTTACAATGTCCTGTCAAATGAAGAACGCAAAAATAGTGACTTCACAAGAATTTGATAACATTGCAATAACTCAGTGCATAATCTTCGTGTTATGTAGTTGGATGGATTCATTGAAGAAAGGAAAATTATGGACCTTAGATTTTGCCAGCGTTTCACCCCTTGTAATAGTTTCATTGATTAAAGAAATATGATTAACCAGGTCATTCTCAGAAGGCCTGGGGTCGAATGATCTACAAAAGCGCACAAAAATGTCAAAGTTGAGGCAACAACAAAAGGCATTGAGAGTGCAAAAACAATTATATCCAAACCTCAATACGACCGGCAGATGGTCCCAAATATTTTCTCGAGATGTTTCTGGATTCCATTTTAGAAAGTGTAGGTATTGCACTGTAATCAAGATTGTCCTAATTGTATCCTTAAAAGCGTTCCTTGGTTTTAGAAGCTTTATCCAGTTATTCCCTTCGGATAACACAAAAATCTCTGGTTCCTCTTCTGAAAGATCAAATTTCCAGGCTTCAACTTGCTTAAAGATTCTCTGAAGCCCTTTATCAGTCATCCCACGCAGGAAGATCTGTTTCTGCCCCCCATCAGGAATCTGGTCTTTATTCCAGTGAACCGGTAACTCGGCAAAAGAAATAGGCTCGTCCTTGTCATTGACGAATTCATACTCTGATACATAACCCTGGACTACTTCACCTTCTTCGTCCGAGGATGCCATCTGTTTCTTCAAATCGCTCAGTGAAATTACAAACCAAACTATATGAAGATAGAAGAATTAGATTAGCATAATTTAAAGTGTGCATGCAACAGAGAAGTTTAAAGTATCAGTATATAACAGAAAAGAAACAAAAATTAAGGTTTTACAGCCTGGTAATTTTTGCATATATTTACATGGATTAACAGAAAGGGCGAGGAAAGCAAATACAAATCAAACATTATATCAAAAACCTTAATCGCGTGAAAAAAGAAGAAAAAATCAAGAAATTCCAACTCAAATATGCATGCTATTTCACAAGTCACGATATCGAATTCTACGAAAAGTAGTATGAGGAAACCAATCCAATAAATAAAAAATCAAAATTTATTAAAAAACAAAGTTTAAAATTTAAATTACCTGTGATCAGACAAATCGCTCGGTGAATTTTCTGCTGACTAATAGCTGTGTTCTGTTTCGAAAATCTAGAGAAAGAAATCCAAATATGTAATGAATGGGAGATTACTCTGAAATCGGAAGGAGCGGGTATATATATAGTCATGCGTGATCCTATTTATTAAGGAAATAAAAACATCGGACTCGGAAGTAAAATTCAATTATGATCCTAGTAGAACTCTAATCAATTACACGTGCGTCTTACTTTTGAAAATTATGGTAACTCAGTGTATGGCCCACCTAATATTAACTAAAAAATACTTTCCTTTGACGCGCTAATTTCCAAAGATAGATTCATTAATTGGACCAATAAATAATTTTGTCAAAGGATTATTGTGGCCGTAAGTTCCGCTTACAAGAAAACTAGGAACGAGATTTTTTCCTTTTTTGGTCTGATTTTTATTTATTTTAGGAACACTGATTTTAATTATGAGCGATCGTTCTTCTTCGATCCTTAATGTCCAATTGAAAAAAAAAAGTATCTAATAGTCCTATTTATTGTACTGAAGTCTATGAGCGAACCGTGATCCCTAAATATCAAAGGCGTCCTTGGTATGATCTCGTAGTTCATACGAGGTAGAGATTTTGAACAATATTCTGTTTTCGATGAAGTTTAACTAATCTTGATTTTTATAAGGAATGATTGGTTTAGTGTCTGGTTGTAAATAAATTTTATCTCCATTAAATAATTTGTTAAAACTATGAACTTGAATAAAATAATACATTTTCAGAATAATAAACGTTTTCTCCACTTGAGATAATGCGTGAAAATATAACACGTGACGTGCACATGCTTAGTTGAAATAAAATATAATTCAGTGTGAAAAAAAAAAGTTGGGGATCAAATTGCTACAAATCCCATAGGTTAGAGACCAACAGTGCAATTTTCCCTTTAAATTATGATGTCAAATAACGAAATACATTCTCAGTAAATCTTTAGGGAAATTTACAAAATACTATGTCGAAGTATATTTTTCCTTTGATTACCGTATTTCTTAAAGTATAAAATATTTTATGTATCATATTTTACAGTATAGTAAAAAGGAACTTTTGCTAAATAAATAACAAATTTACCATAAAAAATAGTTAAATAGACTAAAAATTAATAATCGAAAATAGAAAAGCCCACCCTTTGTATTACATTATATAACATTTTACGTACCAATTCTTTTATTCTCTTAAAATTCATTTTTCCTTTAATTTTCATTTAAAATATTATTTTTTTTCCCTTCCGTATTCATATATCTCTTTATAAATTAACATTCAATAGAATCCTCTCTTTGCGTCATATATAATTTTTTTCATTGACATTTTTTAGACATTTTTTTCTATTATTAGTTATATTTGTAAATTATTCTTTTCTACGAAGCTTTCTCGTAGAAAAGAAAAAATACATCAGTAATAGATAATAATATCAATTTTTTAAGTTGCAAAATTAAGGGTTGAATTTTACTTGTTGTTAATTTATTTTTTATTTTTGGTTAAAGAAAACATTTAATATCAAAAATGATTTTAATTGATTTTTTTAATTTTTATTCATTGAACAAATTTAATTAATTAGAATATAGCAATTAAGATTTTTTTTGTTTTCTTTAAAATGTTGGAAGAGTTAAATGAAGTCTTTAATATGTATTGATAAAAAATACATTTAATTTATTTAAATTATAATTTAAGCTTTGCTGGCTTATGGAAAAATGACTTTTTCGCAGTGTTCTAAAACTCGTGAAAATGCGCCGCCTAAGCGTGCGCGGTCAAAACGCTTCCAATTCGGCGACGCGCGGGAAAATGCGTTTCTATCTAAAAGGCGGCGCAATGCGCGCGCCTAATGCACGCATTATGCCGCCCAATTTTATTTTTTTTTGGGTAAAAAATCTATTTTTTTTATATAAAAATATATTTAATGCCTTAAAAATACGAAACGCACTATGACGCTTATTCTTCGCATTGACGCGCCTAAACTTGTGATTCTTGATTCTCGAACTCGACGCATCCCAACGCATTACGCATTTTAGAACACTGTTTTTTCGTCGAACTACTACATCCACATGATATTTTGGTGTGCTAACATGATTTATTATTCGATGAGACTCTTATTAGCTATCGTCTCTTTTTACAATCCAATGCGGGGTGCTGCACCGGTCAATAGCTCAAATTCTAATTGGTGAGTCGTCTTATCTTCTATATCCATGATACATTTTCGACATGTTCTTGAACTATAGCAAGTGCTCCTGCATTGCTGCTATCCATCACCTTGCTCCAAAATTGCCATTGGAGAGAATGCCAAAAGCTGCACAACTAGCGTTCATTTTGTGATTGTGTATCCGAGTCTGCATTGTCTACATCTGAAGTGGAGATCACATCATCAATGATCATATTTGATACTTCAGTAGCAAGCAAGCTATCATGATCTGTACTAATAGATGGTGCTGGGGATGCCTCCCAGGAAGCATTTGCAGCAGGTGAAGAAGCAGGGGATAAAGAATCATTAATGCCATCGATTGAAGGTTCAGGTGATGCACCTCGACTAGAAGCACCAGGCGATTGAGACGAATCCGACTCTTCAACTGGCTGCTGAAGGCTCCAATACATTATGCTAGCTGTTAAAGAAAGGATCATTTTCTGGTTCACCTGCCATAAAATCACCCCGTCTAATAGCTTAATAACCTGTAATAATAGTTGAACCAGCTAAGAAAGATTAACAAGCTGATTCAATTGGCATTGTCACCTGCATAATGTCCTCGGGTAACAAGAAAATGGAACACCCGAGCTTTCTTGCAACGCTGATTATGTAAGTAGCATTCAGCCTCTTCTCGTCATCTATCATGTGAATAACAGAACTCAAGTCAATTTTTTCCGGTGGCAATTTGATAAATACAGTCAATGCTAACACACAAGCAGAACCGTGAAAATTGAGAGGAACAAGTGGAGAAAAGGTGCAACAGAAACTGTTTTATATGATAAAGATAATTAAATTTATTGTTGCAACGTACTAGTTTCACCCTTGGTAACGAGGTTCCAATTAACAACTCGAGGCTCGACTGCACTGAGAAGCTCAAGGAAGAATAATCCACTTGAAAGACTTTTGTCCTATGTGATCATTCCAAAAATACATCACGAAGCAACGGTAATATAAAAACACACATATACGTGCGCAAATACCATTAGACAAAACTGTAGTTTAATTTCAACCTTGAAACTTTCCATTTGAGATTTTCTGCCAGTACCCTTCACTTTTTTGTTTGCCCAGCTTAGGATATCAGCATCGGTGATCTCTTTTCCTTGGAAACGGGATCTTAAATTCTTTAAGAGTTGAAGCATATTAAACCTCATTAACTGCCATAGAAAGGCTGAAATAACCAAAAAAAGGGAAAATAGAGGTAAAAAAACACAAACGAGCAATTCAGAGAATTTATCTTTTAGTTCAAGCTCTTAAATACTAAGGCCCCGTTCGGGAGTGATTAGAATCCAATTAAAATTGAAAATATGGCCGTTATTGGGTCCCACCCGTCTAATAAAAGTCAACAATAACGGCTATATTTTCAATTTTAATCCCTCCCAAACAAGCTCTAAAGTCAGTTAGGAAGCCAAAAAAATAGAGGTTTGGAACTCAAAGCTAGAAAAAGAGCTAAACATATGTGAGTTTGTAGGAGTATTCATCTGTCACATGAGTTCGCCAAGCAAAGAGAAATTTGGTGTAGAAATTTGTAACATTGAAATAAAATTTCATTACTTTCTACGACAATTATTATATAGATCAAAACCAAGAGGGAAATGCATCCAGGAATTTTACAATAATAAAAGAAGTTCAATACCGAGTATGAGTTTCTTATTCCCTTGTACAATATCATTCCCAGCTACGTTTACTAGCGAAAGCTTCAACTGCCTCCCAATCCTGATAACTTGGTTGCAATTCTCTACTTTTCTGAATGGCATTTTTATTGGAGGTTTTGTTGCATGCTTCCAGTTGACAGATCTAGGAGAAACTTTGTCCAGTACTTCCAAAAGAATCCATCTACAGATACGACACATTCACTTAAAAAGAAGCTTTGAGAAACTCGGAATGACTGATGTCAGAAGTAAAATGGACTCCAAACTATACTGATATTTGTGTTGCCTGTATAGAGTCAAATCATATTGTAAAATATTCCCCTCAATTGTGGATGGACTTGCATGGTAAGGTCGATAGCAGGTGACTAGTGAGCCTAATTTTTCTATGATATATAAAGGATTTTTGGGAGGGCAATTTTCTGTGAGACATAAACAGAGATACATGAGAAAATCCTATTATACATTATCTCTGTTACAGTATAAACAGAGGTAAATGGATTTAGCTCCCACATTCTGCATGATCACTATAAATCTGTAGGTTTGATGTGTGTTTCTTCTTCTTCTTTTTACCTATCATTTCTCTCGTAATTGGGATTAGTGCTTAATCCCTAACAATTGGGCCTGACTACTCCATAATTATATACATATATTTTTTTTTAAAAACATTGCCTCAGTCAGAAGTAGAGGACTAACGAACCAACTCGTGCTTGTTGTAATGTTAAATGTGCAGATCTAAATGTACCATTTTTATACATATGGAATGCTCACCCATTCCTAACATCCTCGAACAAGTTATTGACATAAGAGGCAATTCCTAGACTGTTTATCCATAGTCTAAAGCACCTTTCCTCTCTAGATATTTGCTCATCATCTGTCATCATCTCGGCAAAAGAGATCTTTTTGTTGTCTGTAGACAAGCCATTCCTGGAAACGAAAGAGAGCTTTATTAACTAAAATCAATTCTGTACACTTAAGGTGGATAGACTAAGAAAGAACAGTGTAATATTAACTTAGAAGATCTCAGTAAATGCAAAAGCAGAGTCAGCCAAGTATAGACTCCACCATGGTAGAAATTCTTCAGGGAGGGAGAAGTGCATCACTTGTAATCATCTCAAATAACATTTCTAGCAGTCCTAGATAACATTAAAAGAGAATATATGTTGCTTGATCATAGCTTCCAAGCAAGAAAATTTCTGTGAAAACCATACCAACAGCAAAACAATAGCACAGAAATGCCAATGTCAGAATGTGCTACAGAGGAAATGATTGGAAATTCTTAAAATCAAGAGAAAACATAGAGAGCTGATAAGGAAACGACTTGTGGTAGACACTAACTACTTAGAATTCCAACAACTTATGTTTCCTTTTCATCTATTCTTCTCATTTTGAATCACACAATGGTGTGTCTCCTGCCAAGAAAGGAAACCCCACCTCCCACCTGCACCACAAAAAGAAAAGTAAAGAACAAATGTTCCATTTGCTAGAACAAATAAAGTTCATTTCCAACCTTTGTTGGAATATCTGAGCAACAAATGCAAGATTCAAATTGGCAGAGCCTTCAACAATGTCTTTCGGAGTTAGATATCTCTTGCAGTCCATTTTCTCTGCATGTTCAAGAACCAAATTAGCCCTTTCAGCCGGATCCTTGGCATCTAAGGTGGCGGGACTGCAGTGCTCGGGTGCAAGTACATTGAGCAGGTAAGCATAAGCCTCTCCGTCCTGCCACATAAGAACTAAGCTCTGAATCCAATTCTACATGGCAACATATACCTTTAATCATGGAAAGCATTTAAAAATATACATCCTTTCTGAAAAAGAACGTTTTTCTTAAGCTCCCCTTAACACCTTTTAAGAATTTTATTGATCTCTCAACAAAAATATAGGAAATTTTGCACTCTGAACTCCCCCCACCCACCCCACCCCACAAAAAAAAA